TTTTGGTGTACCCTACTGGATGCTATAGATCTTAGCTCAGATAACATCTCTGACAAGAAGTTTTCCTTGATTTGTGAAGCCAGAAATTACTCTTCACTCCTCTGTATTCCGTTAGTGATCAGTTGGCAACATTTACTTTCCACTTGTGGAGTTTTTTAAAAAAATCAGCATCTTCTCTTAGATATAATAAAATATTTTATAGCACAGAACATATCTAATACAGCTGTATATGAGGCACAATCTGTATAACCCACGCAAATATTTAAGAAAGTTATGTTGTTCTTTCAAATTATATAAATAAATTCACACTGGTGGATGTGTGTCTTGGTTACTTTTCTCTCACTGTTGAGACAAAATACCTGACACCCAGAATTAAGGAAGGAAAGGTTTATTTAGCTCACAATTTATGGAGGTTTCAGTTCATACTCAGCTGGCTCCAAGGCAGAGTGGCACATGGCAGAGGGCAACAGTTCATGGCGGTGGAAGACAGCAAAAGCAACAAGAGCAAAAAGGAGGAGCGGCCGCAAATAGCCTCTTTCTCCCCCTTACGTATGCAAACTATGCGCCCCAGGGCTAGGATAGCACTCACACCCATAATCCCAGCATTGGATCACGGATCAATCATAAACTCTAAAAGCCCACCTCATGACTGCATGAGGCTTTGGGGGGACATCCAGACACAAACCATAACAATGTGTTATTTGGGATCAAATTTCAGAACTGAAAACTACCAGGGTATTTTGAAGACAAACTTAGGTAGAAGAGAAAAATGTAAATGTTAAGCTATATAAGTCAATTAAATTCATCATTAAACAACTATAAATATGAGGTTGAATGTTTAGTGTTATCTCTAGGCTATCATCATGATAAGCATGATATAAAGAGTTCTGGTAAGAGGTGGTTATTTCTCCTTAAACATCTATAGCAATCTTATATTTCTTTACTTGTTATCTCAGTATTTCTGTTTTACCATGTGATAGAAAAACTGGTCACAAATATTCTTCCTATGTTGAGAGTAACACCCCTGGGTTTTGCAGGGTTTGCAAGGGAGCTTTCAGAGTAGCTCTATGTTGATGTGATTTTTGTTGTGTTGGAACTTTCATTTCTCTGGTTGGAAAAGTTTGCCTTTAGCTTTTTCAAATGGTCCCCATATTAATTTAATAAGGGATAGAGGCAGATTTAGAGAGAAAGTCTTTAGTAACAGTGTGTGGTTCCCTTTGTAAGAATAAAAAGACCTTGAGTAGCCAAATCCATAAGAAGAATTCTACTAGTTTCATTCAGATTTTCAGTTTTCATACTTCTCCATTAGATAATAAGTACTCTAGAGCAATGGTGGTGAACCTATGGCACAAGTGCCACAGCAGGCTGTTGTGACATTAAAAGCTCTAAAAAGTTCACCATCACTGCTCTAGAGAAAGGAAAGAATTTAACCGAACTATGAAATTCAGAACTTAACTGAAAGTTTTGATTAAACTTTCAAAAATTTAACTGAAACTTTAAAAATGAAAGTTAAGGACTGGACTCAAGGAAATGGAGGACAAGAAAGAAAATGGGAATGAAGAGAAGGATTGGTCAAAGGAAAATGCAGCCCTTTCTATCTCTACACAGCACATGATGCTTCTGTGATGGCAAATGTGGTTAGGTTTTCTTCACCTGTGTAGAGAGACCAGTAGAGTCTTTGTGTCTATATTTGCAGTCAGGATCCTGTTCTAATGCAGACTTTGCTTCCACAAATATGTTAGTCAGCTTTCCTGTACAGGTGCAAAATATCTGATCCTTGCAACTTAAAGGAGAAGAGGTTTCATTTTTGACTTACAGTTTCAGAGGTTACAGTCCATGGTCAACTTGATCCACAGCAGAAACATGGAAGGACATGGTGGAGCAAAGCTGCTCAGCACAGAATCAGCAAAAGAAATACTCTTCCAAGAGTTGCTCCTAGCAACACATTTCCTCAAACTGGACCTCACCTCCTCAGAGCACATTCAGCTATGAACATCAGTAGACTAACCCACTGAATGGTGGGTTCAGCACCGCTGAATGCAGCGCTCCCCCTGATACAATTGCCTCTCTAGGATTCTCTTGTCAAGTTGACAGTCTATCTTAATCATCACGGTAATCTTAGACCTCTTCCATCTGTTCCTCAGAGGCTTTCTGGCTAACTCAGAGATTAGATAGCATTGGTGAGAGCAGAGCTACAGAAGCAGGGTGGTCTATTCGTCTTCTAGGACTGTTTTCTAGGACTGTTTTATTCTCCAACAAATAAAGCTACAAAGGAAAGCTTTTATAAGCCTACAATAAAAAACCCTTCATTATTACAGTTGCACTTTTATTTATAATTTTTATTTTAAAATAATACAGACTTATAAAAAATTCCACACCATGTCATCCAGTGGTATCACCATAAATAACTACAGTACAACTTCAAACCAAGAAATTACCACTGGTATAACTCACTAATCTTAATCAAATTTTAGCAGTGTTTATAGCCACTCGCATGCATGTGTGTGTGTGTGTGTGTGTGTGTGTGTGTTCTATGCAGTTTTATTCCATGTATATGTAGTAAAGGTTCTTATAACCACCTCTACAACCAAGACACAGATCTGTCTCATATCGCAAAGGAGCTTCCTGAAATCTTCTTATATATCTGCCCTACCAGTAACTCCTGGCAACCACCATCTGTTTCCCATCTCCATAATCTTGTAGTTTCAAAAATGTTATTTAAATACAGCCCACAATTTTACAACACTTACTGTCTCTTTTTCCAAAGCATAGTTTTCATAAACTTACAAAATACTGTCCCTATCTGCCAGATAACAATAGTGTCAACTATATGCAGGGCACTAAACCAAGTTCGTTTTCCCCTTGACATTTGAAATAGCCCTGTGAGGCAACTATTAGTGAATCACATCACTCCTATGTTTAAAAATTCTCTTAATGGCTCCCTATTTCATTCTTGGAACCGTTAATCTCACACTATGGCTATAGAGCCCACTCCAGCAATGCCCCTGCCTTCGTTCCACTCCATCTCTTACTGACCCACCCCGTTGCTCCGTCCCATTTGATGGTCTCCATCTGTCCTTGGCCATAGCCAGTCAAGCTCATTCCTGCCTCCAGGTCTTTGCACCTACTGTTTCTTCCTCAGATCCTTCCATGGCTCTTCATCCTCTGGAAGTCTCAACTCAGATTTTGTTCTCTCAGACACACTCTTCTTGTACACATAATGTAAAATAAACAAAACAAAACGACCCTCATCCCAGCCCCTCCATATAAAGCTATCAGATTTTGCAAGCAAAAAATATAAGAATAATAAAATCGGACATTGGATGAACACTGTCAGTGTAAATACGTTCCATGTAATATTTGGGACATACATATACTAAATTACTGTTGTGTATCTAAAATTCAAATGTAACTGGATGTCCCCCATTTTATCTGGCAACACTTCCGCTCCAGTCACTCCATCATGGTACACCTTTTCATTGTCTCCCTGGGACTTTTTCACTGGTAGAAATTCTGTTTATTGTCTGTTTCTTCCCTGACTCAACTCGAAGTAGCTTCATGTGAGTGAAACTCTGCTTTTTTGTTCACAGCTATTTCCAGAGCCTGTCACAGCCCCTGACATATAGTAGGTGCTCAATAAATAAATATTTGTTTTAAGGATAAGGAAAACAAAACAAAGTTTAGGTTACTAACACCTCAGGGGCATACTGAAGGAGAAGCTGTATTCAAATTGTGGTGCTGAAACGTAGGAAACCTTCCCTTGTTTTCCATATTCAGGGCTGCAGTGAAGGAGATCAGGGCCCAGTGTCACCGTCTTTCCAGGCTCTGCTATAGAATCAGAAGACCCTGGATGAATAGATGTGGGAGAAGTAAAGTCTCAGTGAGCTAAAAAGCTTTTTACCTTTGCCTTGCAACAAAGCAAATGAACTAGGTAAAGAAAAAAACGCGCTTGTAGGAAAAGGACATGACTCTCTGAATGCCAAGTGAGGTCAGAGGCTGCGCTCACCCTTCCAGTCTTTGTCCACCTCGAACTCCAACTTACAACTTAAGGGGCTGGCTTTACTGGCAGGCTCTGGAAGCTGCTAGGTCCTAATCGGAAACGAAGTCACCAGAGACCACGCTAGGGAAGAGCGTGGACGGGTGAATGCAGGGGATGAAGTCGAGACAGAAGAAACCAAACTCCTCCTGGACCTAGCGCGCGAGCAACGCGTGTGCAGCCTTAGAATTCGATGGGGCTCCGCGCGCGATTTGGACGCTCGGAGCCTCACGGGACCCACCAGGGACGCACAGTCGCTTTTCCTACGCTCTGCATCTGGCCTCACCCAGAGGCCGGCCGGGAGCTAGCTGCCTGGACCACAGTGACCGGATCCCCAGAAGCAAGCTGACTCGGGCCCTGCCCGCTCCACCCAGCTGGTGCGCGCCCTCCCACCTAGCAGCTGAAGGATGGTCCCGGGGTGCTCCGCGAGGGCTGCGGGTCCCCGCCGCCGTCTGCAGCCGGACGCGCCCTGCCGTGGGAGCGGCGCGCGCGCGGGGCTGGGAGGCG